AATAAGCCACCACTGAAAAATCGGTGTTAATTTAATAAGACCTACAAATCAGTTAGCAGTGCTGTGTCAATGTTAGTTTCCTGGTTTCAGTAACTGTATTGAAGGGATCCCTGGGTGGCTCAGTGGTTTAGCACCTGCCTTCAGCCCAGAACGTGATCCTGGAGTCCCGGGATCGAGTCCCACATCGGGCTCCCTGCATGGAGCCTGTTTCTCCCTCTGCCTGTGTCTCTGCCTCTCACTCTCTCTGTGTCTCTCATGAATAAATACATAAAATCTTTAAGAAATAAAAAAAGTAACTGTACTGAGGTCATGTGATAGAGAGAGAAGCTTGTGAAGGGTATGCAGAAATTGTCCATACTATTTTCGCAAAGTTCCTGGAAACTTAAAATCACTTCAAAATTGAAATTTTAACAATCTTTCCCTCTGAACAAAAATGCCATCTGTTAGAACACATCTGCAGAAAATTTCAACTGACCAAATACTAACCAAGTAAGAGAGCATGCACTGAAACATAATAACTCAAGTATCATCCTCAATTCCACTTAGAATCTTCATCGTTGGGGACCAGCCAAGACACCACCACAATGCAAGTACATCTCTCAAAAGTGCACATCTCTTTCTACTTTTTCCTGCTCCCCTCTCACACTCTGCTAAAGATACCCTGTACGAGGCTGAAATACTAGACACCATGCCAGCCCCCACCCCCGCTCCCGCCCCGAGCGGGGCATCAGATGCCAAGAGCGCAGTGGGCTCAGAAGCTGGTCAACCCTTCTGGAGGCCGGCCGGGAGTGCACACGAGTCACCTCATCATAGTTGGTGTCGTTCAGATCCTCGTCATCGTCGTCTGCGGCCTGGCTTTTCTTCATCTGGTCCCCGACGGTCCTCTTGCCCGGGGGTGCATGGCGGTCATCCACAGGGTCATTTGCGTCGCGCGCGGGCCCAATATCCGACCGGGTGGTAAAGCCAGTGGCACTGCAGGAGACCCGGGGACATCCGTTTATCCGGGTGACCCCGTCCCTTTGTTCTTTCCTCCACGGTCCTCCATGACAGCTGCTCTTCTAACGTGTCTGGGGAAAAAAACCCCCGAGGATCCAGGCAGCAACGCGCTAGGGATGCTGCACTCTCAAACGTTACTAGTCTGTTCTCTCCGTGGGAGACCCCTTTGGACCTACTCTGCGGGGGTCCCCACCCACCACCCCACATCGTCCTCCTGGAGAGATTCGTCAGGGCATCAGAGCTCCTCAGAGCTCCGTCCTCCCGAGTATCCAGCCTCCTGCTTCTCACAACCCGCTGATCATCTCCCCCACCCAGCCCCTCGGGATGCCCTCTGCGCTCATGCTGCCGCTGCCCTGGGCTGCTGCCGCTGATGACTGCAGCGCCATCCCAAGTGCCGAGGCCGACACCAGGGCATCAGCTTTGCCTCCCTCACCCGCCTTCTCCGCCCCGTCAGTCACCAAGTTCTACCCAGTCTACCTCCGAAACCCTCCTCCCCAAACCTGAGCTCCCCGGCAGCTGGGACCCCGCTGGCCGCCGGGCCTCTAGCCTTCCTGGGCCGCAACGCGGGCTCGGCCCCTCGGCTCGGCCCCCGACCTGCGGCATCACCCCACTCACCTGCACTCGGCTCGCACAGACTCCCCGAGACTCCCTCATCTTCCTCCACGCCTGCCCTTTTTTCTTGACCACCCAGCACACAGGAAGCCCGCCTGCCCCTTAGCCCCAGCCACATTCCCGCGTCCCGGGCCCCGCTCTGCTCCCAAGCGGGGCTCAGGTGCCACCTCTCCGCCGAGCACGCCCCGGGCTCCGACACCTGTTCCCTCCGCCCCTGATACGCTGCAGGTGCTCGGAGGCTGGTGCCCCCCCACCCCCCCCCCGCAGGGAAGCCCGATACCGGCCTCAACCGACGACCGGCCGGGACGGCGATGCCGCGGGGCACCCGGCGCAGGCGCAGGGCAGGGCAGACGGACCCGCTCACCGACCCTCGCGGACGACGCCCCGGGACGGCCCAAGGCCCGCGCCGCTCGGCTGCTCCCCGGCCCAGGCCCAGCCCCCGCCCCGCCCGCCGCCCCGAGAGGCCCCCCCAGCCTCACCCCCGGCCCAGCCCCGGCACGTAGCCGAGCGGCGCGGGCATGCCCAAGAACGGCTTCTTCTTCTTGTTCATGGCGCCGGTGACGACCAGGGCCCCGGGAGCGACGGCGCGGAAGCCGCGGCGGGAGGCGGGAGGCGGGAGGCGGGAGGCGGGAGGCGGGAGGCAACAGGCCGGAAACGACCCCGGCCGCCGCACCGGAAGAGCTCGCGGGCTCCGCGTCACCCGCGCCCCGGAAGCAGAGCCCCAGGGCCGCCCGAAGCCCCGCCCACCCCGCCTTCCCCGGGCGGAAGTTCCCGAAGAGCGACTTCCGGCTGCGTGCGGGGGCGGCTGCGGCGGGAGAAGGTGACGGGCGCATGCGCGCGGGGGCCCGGCGGGGGGGCGGGGCCTCGGCCTGCGGGACCTCGACCTGAGCCTGGCGCGTCTTTACTGGTTTCCGACGCTTCTGCGAGGAGACCGGCCCGTGCGGGCAGGACCCGCGGCCCCTCCCTGGGGACCCAGGACCGGGCCTAGGCGGGGACGCTTCCCTTCCGAGGTGTCCTGGGCCCTGTGCCCTGGGGGGCGGGCTCCAGGCCTGGGCGCTCAGGCTCCCGGGCGGCCGGCGATGCAGGCACCGTCCTGAACGGGCTCCACCGCCCCGCGCACCCCCGGACCGCGCCGGGCCCCGGCCCTGACCCTGACCCGGGCCCTGACCCTGCCAGTGGCACCTGCACCCTGCTGGACCCCAGCCCTGACCCAGGCCCTGACCCCGGCTGACAGTGGCACCCGCACCCTGCCAGACCCTGGCCCTGACCCTGACCCTGACCTGACCCTGCCAGTGGCACCTGCACCCTGCTGGACCCCAGCCCTGACCAGGCCCTGACCCTGATGGTGGCACCTGCACCCCTGCTGGGCCCTGGCCCTGACCCTGACCCTGCCGGTGTCACCTGCACCCTGCCGGACCCCAGCCCTGACCCAGGCCCTGACCCCGGCTGACAGTGGCACCCGCACCCTGCCAGACCCTGGCCCTGACCCTGACCCTGACCCTGACAGTGGCACCTGCACCTCACCAGATCCTGACCCTGAACTTGATAGTGGCACCCGCACCCCGCCGGACCCTGACCCTGACCCTGACCCTGCCGGTGGCACCTGCACCCCGCTGAACCCTGGCCCTGACCCTGACAGTGGAAGTGCAGCCCCCAGAGAGCTGTTCATGCAGCAGATATGCCCGGATCGCTTCAGTGTGTGGGCCCGCGTGGCCACAGCTCGGGGGTGAATTCCATGCAAATCTCTCCTTGGGCGTGGTGCTGGGCTTGGGTACCAGTCACATCACCTGGGCCCATGTTTTAGGTGGACATGCACGACGACTCTATCTCCGAGTGCGCCTTTGCTCGTGGTGCCGTGGGCGTCCTCTGGCACCCACATACGCCTGGGGAGAGCGCCCAGACCCCTGGTGGTGCAGGCTCAACTTGGTGGGTAGCAAGTCTGGCCTTCTGACCCCGGGGGCCCCCAGCCCACCCTAGCACTTCCCAGTGAGGCCTGGAACAGACGCATCCCTCTTCCCTGCAGCGGCCTCCTTGGAGCGGCTCTGTCCTCCCCATGCCCCGCGAAACCGCCTTCAGCGGCACCCCCTGAGCCGGGGCCAGATCCTGGGGCTGCAGAGGGAAGGGGACAGGCGCTGCCGGGCTGTCTTCCTGGAGCCCCCGGCGGTGGGTTAAGGGAGGCTCCTAGGGGAGCAAGTGCCCCGTGAGGGCGAAGACCTCTGGAGAAGGCGTGGATAAAGGGGTGGGAAACGGAGGGGTCGGTCTGGCCCTCCACCTGGGCCTCGGTGGACCGACGATCCCGGGACCAGGGAGGATGTCCGCCTCCGGCCCGCTCCCTCCCGCCGGGACCTTTGCTTCCTCGTGTCCCCGCCTCAGAGGCCCCCCGGGGGGTGGGCCCCCGGGAGGTGCAGGCGCTGGTCCTCCTGGAAGCCGCCGCCAGGTTGCAAGGTCGCCCGGACCCCCGCAGGCTCCCTTTGCAGAGCAGAGCTGCGCGCCGCCGCTAGACCGCGGAGCTCCCGAGCGCGCCCGGCCCCGGGCTCGGTCGGCTCGGGCTCGGGCTCGGCTCGGGAGCAGGTGCCTCGCCGCGCAGACTCGCCGGGCGCGGGGACCGGCTCGGGCGCGGGGCGGGCGGGGCGGGCGGGGCGGGCAGGCGGCGCGCGTTCCCCGCCGGCCACACGGCCGCCTGGCGCCCGGCGAGGGGCGTGTGCGCGGCCCGGATCCTTGGGCCCCATGTTCACGGAGCTGAGGACCAAGCTGAGCCCCCCGCGAGGCCGCGCCGGGGCTGTGCGCGCCGGCTTCGGGGAGCGCCGGGATGTGGACGGTGAGCAGGGCTGACCACGGCGCGGGCGGGCGGCGGCTTGAGCCGAGGGGGGCCGCCTCCTGGCCGATCGGGGTCCCTCGTGCCTTTGTCCTGATGCGGGGTGGCCTCGGGCCCGGGGCATCAGCGCACCCTTGGCTTGGAGGAGGTTACGGCTGGGGCTCCTGTCCCCCGCTGGCCCACCCCGCGGTCACCTTTCCCTTTGCGCGCCCTTCGCTCCCCAGCTCTGCGGTGGGGCCGAGAGGAGCCGAGGCCACAGCTGGGCTTGGACGCCCCCGGCCCCGTTTCATGGTGGAATTCTGACGTTGGGGCTAAGAGGGAGGGAAGGGACGGAACGACGGGCGGGCGGACAGACAGAAAGACGGAGATCCTTCCCCGAGCCTGGGCAGGAAATGGGCGGGGCCCGCTGGACCCCGACAGGTGCAGCGCCACGGGGCGACGCCCACCTCGCCAGAGCTTCAAGCTCCTGCCCCTGCTCCTGCCCCTGCCCCTCCCCTCCCCCTGCCTCTGCCCCTGCCTCTGCCCCTGCCCCTGCCTCTGCCCCTGCCCCTGCCCCTGCTCTTGCTCCTGCCAGCCCGCTCCGCCAGGCCCTGCAAGGCGAGGCCGAGTGGCTCTGGAACCTGTGCCCTGAAAGATGCCAGCTTAGAATAAGTCTTTTCTGTGACATCAGAAACCTCATCCAGGCAGGGACCGCACCAGGCACACCCTCTGTTTGATCCTGGACCTCGAATTTAGAGTCACCTGGGGTCATCCAATTCCAAAAAGTTGCAAGGATGAAGAGGGCGTGCTGAATCGGAGGAATCTGAAGGGCTAGAAGGGGGCAGTGATGGGTTTTCCCCATGGCTGAGAACTCCTGGGCACACAGCCAACCCCTGCCCTCAGCTGGGGGCGCTGGGTTGTGTCCATGGAAGGCAGGGTCTCTCATTCTAGGGCTGAGAGCCAGGGAGGCGAGGGCCCGGGCCGAGAACCTGCTTCTGCCTGCCGAGTTGGGGCCTAGGTGCTGTAAAGATGAAGGCGAGCCTGGGCCCAGCTTCCTGTCTCTCCCCAGGGCTCTACTGGCTGTGGACACCACACAGAGCCTTTCTCCATCCACCCAGCCAGCCAGCCACAGTGTCCCTGGGCACCTGCTGTGTGCCCAGACCTGTGCAAGGGTCGGGGGGCCATCGTTAGGGTGTCTGCCCTCCTGTGACCTATGTGAGCAATGAGCCCAGGAAGGACAGCAAAACCAAAACTCGAGGAGTGTAATGAAGTCTGTGGAAAGAGGGCACCAGGTGTCCCCGTGGCTCCCCGAGCTCACGGCTGGCCCCTGCACACCTGTGCTGAGCAGCCCATGTCCGCTGGATGCCCACCCACGGGAGCTGTCCTGGGCCAAGGGCCCTGCGGCAGGTGGCAGAGCAGGGTTCCCGGGTTGGCTTGCCCGCAGTTCATTCAGGATTCCCACCGAGGGGTTGGCAGGTAAGCACCGCGGGGCAGGAGCCGCGTCTCAAACGCCAGGTATGGTTGCAGAGTTGGGGTGCCATCAGCGGCGATGGCAGGCAGCATTCTCGGGGACGCCGTGACGCAGGGCCTCCCAGGACAGAGGGGCCGCAGCGTGCCCTGGTCTGGCTCAGCGTGCCTCAGCCTAGAGCGAGGGTGAGACGAGGCCTGTCTCGGGGTAGCTCCTCACCAGACTGTGAACCTTAGGCTCCCCTGTGGGCACACTGTCTCTCGAACCTATGCGGAACCCCTCGTGCTCCCCAGAGCACGGCTGGTGCGCCCAGAAGAGGAAGGATGCTCCCAGGCCATCAGCTTTGGGCTGGGCAGGCTACGCAGGACCATTCTTGCACGCTTCCTTCCTGTCCCTGGGGGCTTGGGGCCCCCCCGATGGGGACAAGGGGCCTCGTGTTCAAGGGAAGATGGGTTGAGGAGGGAGTTGGTTTGCAGAGAGACGATCCTCTGGCCCCAGCCCTGACCGCCCTGACCAGGCGCCCATGCCCCGCAGCCACTGCACACTTCAGCTTCTGCCGAACCCTCCTGGAGCACACGGTGTCCGCTGAGAGCATCCCCTGCCACCTGCCTCGGACGCCAGGCACCAGCCTCACATGGCACGACTCCCGTAGCCAGAGGGCCGCTGGTGGCCGGCCGGTCAAGCTCCTGCAGCAGCCTGGCACAGAGGCCCCCCAGGTACCCACCTGCCGTCCCCCCTCAGCCCCTGCCCTCCCACCACCTCACCGCACCCGGCACCCGTCTCCCCCGCAGGGCCGGATATACTCTGACCACTATGGCCTATACCACACGAGTCCCTCCCTGGGCGGCCTGACGCGGCCTGTGGTCCTGTGGAGTCAGCAGGACGTGTGCAAGTGGCTCAAGAAGCACTGTCCCCACAACTACCTCATCTACGTGGAGGCCTTCTCCCAGCACGCCATCACAGGTGCCCTTGGGGGCTGTGGCATGGGGGGGGCACAAGGATCCCCTGGAGAGCCCCCCCAGCCTGCCTTTGTTTCTCTTGCCGTCATTTCTCTCTCCTCGGTTTCCTCTTGGGCCAACCTCTCCTGCCAGGGCTCTCTCTCCGCGGTCTCCCTGGAGTGTTGCTCCGTTCTCGTGGCTTTTCTCTGCCCTCCCCTCTGCCTCTCACCCTCTTTCCCTGTCTCTCTAAATCCTGCTGTCTCCGCCTCTCCTTCAGTGTCCTTGAGTGTCTCTGTGTCCCCTTCCCGTTTCCCTCTCTCTGCCTCGGCTCTTAATGACCCTTGGAGGTTGACCTTGGCTCAACCCCTCTCTGCTTAACCCCTGGCCCAGGCCGGGCGCTGCTGCGGCTGAATGGGGAGAAGCTGCAACGGATGGGGCTGGCGCAGGAGGCACAGCGACAAGAGGTGCTGCAGCAGGTGCTACGCCTGCAGGTGCGCGAGGAGGGGCGGAGCCTGCAGCTGCTCAGCCAAGGTCAGTGGGGGGAGCCAGGAGTGCCAGAGAGCCGGGAGTCTGGGCTGTGAGCCCAAGGGTGGGCTGGGTGGGCTGACGTCAAGGGGGCAGCCCAGCCGTAGGACTCTAGTCAGGGCCGTCTTGTGCCTGGGGCAGAGTGGAAGACGCCAGAAGTCACCCCTCCTCACCCCCATCCGCCCTATAGCCTCCTTTGGAAATGCGTCCTAGCTGCTGCCTGAAGCTTGAACCCCAGACCCCAGCACTGTGACCAGAGCCTGTGGCAAGGACGATGCAGGGCTGGCACACAGCCCCTCTCGGACCCCGCCAGAGGCTCCAGGGGCCGAGCCCAGCCCGATGGACAGGTGGGACCAGGATTGCCATCTCTGGTTGTGCATTCTGGGCTGTGAGCAGGTGGGGGCTGCTTGGGTGTGGCCCTTCCTCGCAGGACCTGAGCCCAGATCCACCCTCTGGTGCTGCTGGCAGCATGCGGGGCAGCCACCTGGAGCCAGAGCAGGTCTGGTTATCCCCCTAGACTCCCAGGGAGTCTGTTTATTATTTATATTCCCCTCACCCACACTCGTGTCCGTGCCCCCCATGCCTGCCAAGTCACGCTTCCTCTGGGCGTCCCACCTCTGCCACGGCAAGAGGTCTGGGTCTGCCCATCTGTCCAGTTCTATACCCTCACCCGGCCCCTAGAGGATTGCCGGCCCAGGTGGGATACACTGTGGAGGCTCCCTTAGACGAGCGCCCCGCCCCGGCCCCCCCCCCCCACAGTCCGCGGCAGCAGCACCCACCTGACGTGCCACGCCACGCACTGTCCTGCGTTGTTTCTGAGACCCTCACCATACCCCCGTCCATTCCCAGGAACTGAAGCAAGAGAGGTCTGGGGATTGCTCAGGGGCCTGAGACCTAATGGCAGCATGAGGACCCGGGGATTAGGATTAGGCTCAGCCACGTCTCCACCTTGGGTCTGGGAGTCCCGCTCCTGCTCCCCCCACGTTCCTGGAGGCTGCCTCTGACGCATAGTTGGGGGCCTGTGTAGTCTCACCGCTCCTTTACCTGGAAAATCCTGTCCCGAGGGCTGCGCCCTTCACACCCACCTACCAGAGACCCAGCCAGCACTTGAGCAATGACCCCGTGGGCCACAGGGCCCAAGGCTTGGGACTGGGACTGCCCAGCAGAGGCACAGTGAGGGGGTCCTGGTGGCCCCACCCGCTTGCTCCTCTGGCCTCCCACTCCTCTAGGATCTCTGGGTCTCAGGGACAGATGAGGCCGAGCCTCCAGCCTCCTCTCTGTGCCCTAAGCCAGCCTCTGGATGGGAGGTTGGTTGTTGCAGGTCCTGAGTGGACAGGACAACTGGCCTGGTGCCCCCCGCCTAATCCTGCGGGTGCAGACAGGAAGCCCCCGTGTCCTGTCTGGCCACCCTGCCCGTCCCTGCCCACCTTGTGCCATCACGACGTTGTCTGTTCGGAGGGTCCTTCCTGTCATTGCCCCCACCTGCTCCCTCTCCTGTCTCCCCCCCCCATGCCCCCGTGCTCTTGTCTTGTCTTTTTTGTTTGCGCTTTTTTATATTCTGACAAAAAGACCAGAAATAAACCTGGTTCTCAAGTGCCCCAAGTGTGTGTTTGGCTCTAGCCAACTGGGTGTTTGAGAGTGGGAAGAGCCCTGGGTGGGGGGGCCCCCAGGCTGTGGGAGGAGGGGGCCCCCGTGCCCAGCTCAGGTGCCTCCCCAGGGCCACTAGGGGGCAGTGGTGTCGCATCTTGACAGGGCACCTGTTCACCCCAGGACCAGGTGGGGACAGGAGGCAGAGGCTGGAATCCTGGGCTCAGCCCTGTGGACTGCACCCAGATGCACGGACACAGGTGCGTGACTTTCCCGGGGCTGCCTTAACAGACGACCACAGCTGGGGAGCTCAGCACAACAGGAGCTGCTCTGGGTACAGTGACGCAGGCCACCAGTCTGAGACCCAGCAGGGTCCCCCTCCCTCCTAGGGCACAGGGTAGGACCCTTCGGCACCTCCCCTAGCTTTCAGGGCCTCCAGGGATCATGGCCCGTCACTCCATCCCAGCCTCGGCGGCCGCCTCTTCTGTGTCACATCTTCCTCTTACAAGGAAACTTGTCCCTGGGTTTAAGGCCCACCGGTCCCAATCCAGGAGGATCTTCTCATCTCAAGACCCTTACCTTAAGCAGATCTGAAAAGACCTTTTTTCCAAATAATATCCCATTCGTGGGTTCCAGGGATTTGATGTGGCAATCCCGGAGGACCCACATTAATCCTGCTCCCCGCCCCCTGCAACAGGGTAATGTCCTGACATAAGAAACACACAGGACACGACAACGCCCTGATGCAGGCACCTGCACAGCAACCAGACGCACGGTAATACAGAGGCGTAAACTGACACAGCGATGCTGGTGTCTGGACCCACGGCGGCCAGACACACAGGAACACGGGGCTGACTGCAGACGTGTTGTAGCCTGGACACACCTGCCAGGATCCAGATTTCTCTCCACCCACTCACACCTTGCATCTAGTCATCTGGATACTGACACACAGATAGGCATCTTTTCCCCCAGCACAGGACGTACAGACATGCCCTGACATCAGATGCCCACGCAGGCCACGGCCTAGCACACATGGCCACTCAGGCACGAACAGACACTGACGTGTCACACGCGTGGACATGCGGGCTTACACGGGGAAACATGACAGGCTTGTGTGCATCCTGTGCACTGACCTCTCCCCAAATCCTGCATGTCCTGTCCTGTCCCCCACGTGGGCATGGTCAGTAAGGGAAGGACAGGACACTCCCTCTTCCTCCTGGGGTCACTCGGGCCTCTCCGTGGCTCTGATTCCCAGGGGAACTTCTAACTACTGACCCCTCCACGAGGGGGCTCCCACCCCTCCCTGTGAGCACTGGGCGCCACCCTGGAGAAGGGGCAGACCCCAACCGCAGCTCGGCTTTGGGCCCTACCCCAGGCTGCTGCAGGGCAGGCCTGGGAGGGAGAGGTGCGGGCGTGGGGGGCTGGGAGGGGGAGACGCACCTTGCAGGCATTTCCCAGCCAGAACCTCGTCCCCCGCCTGTCCCCCCGTCCTGGTACTGTCCCCCCACCCTGGTACTGTCCCCCCTCCCTGGTACTGTCCCCGTCCTGGTACTGTCCCCCGTCCTGGTACTGTCCCCCCGTCCTGGTACTGTCCCCCCGCCCTGGTACTGTCCCCCCGCCCTGGTACTGTCCCCCCGTCCTGGTACTGTCCCCCCGCCCTGGTCCTGTCCCCCCGCCCTGGTACTGTCCCCCGTCCTGGTACTGTCCCCCCGCCCTGGTACTGTCGCCCCGCCCTGGTACTGTCCCCCCGCCCTGGTACTGTCCCCCGTCCTGGTACTGTCCCCCCCCGTCCTGGTACTGTCCCCCCGCCCTGGTACTGTCCCCCGCCCTGGTACTGTCCCCCCGCCCTGGTACTGTCCCCCGTCCTGGTACTGTCCCCCCGTCCTGGTACTGTCCCCCGTCCTGGTACTGTCCCCCCGCCCTGGTACTGTCGCCCCGCCCTGGTACTGTCCCCCCGCCCTGGTACTGTCGCCCCGCCCTGGTACTGTCCCCCGTCCTGGTACTGTCCCCCCGCCCTGGTACTGTCCCCCCGCCCTGGTACTGTCCCCCCGCCCTGGTACTGTCGCCCCGCCCTGGTACTGTCCCCCCGCCCTGGTACTGTCCCCCCGCCCTGGTACTGTCCCCCCGCCCTGGTACTGTCGCCCCGCCCTGGTACTGTCCCCCCGCCCTGGTACTGTCGCCCCGCCCTGGTACTGTCCCCCCGCCCTGGTACTGTCCCCCGTCCTGGTACTGTCCCCCCGCCCTGGTACTGTCCCCCCGCCCTGGTACTGTCCCCCCGCCCTGGTACTGTCGCCCCGCCCTGGTACTGTCCCCCGTCCTGGTACTGTCCCCCCGCCCTGGTACTGTCCCCCGTCCTGGTACTGTCCCCCGTCCTGGTAGCTTGCTGCCCCGGCGTGGGTGGGGGGCGCGCTCGCAGGCGGGGCGGGGCCCGGGCGCAGGGGCCTGGCCGCGGGGGCGGGGGCCGGTCCCTCGGTCCGAGGGTCCCCGTGGCCCGCCCCCCCCCCCACCCGGGGGCCCCCCCGCCCCCAGCGCGGCCACCGGCCCGGGGTCCAGGTCCCGCCCCGCGCGCAGCCGCCCGAGCCGGGCTCCCCGAGGCCGGCGGTCTCCGCGCCCGCAGCCCAGCGGCCCTGCGGTGCCTCAGTTTACCCCGCCGCCCGAGGGAGCCCCCGCGGGAGCCCCCCCGCTCCCGCCGCGCGGCCGCAGGAATACCGCGAGAGTTCGCCCCCTCCCCCCCGCAGCAAAACTGTCAAAGGTGGGAGGGGCGGGAGCGCGCATGTGCGCAGCGCGGCGCGCAGCCTGCGCCGCCCGGACCCCGCGCCCCGCGCCCCGGCCCCGGCCCGGCCCCGGCCCCCGCCGGCCGCCCGCTGGGCCCCAGGTGAGCGCCCGCGCCCCGCCCGGCCCCGGCCCCCGCCCGCCCCGCCCCGCGCCGCCGCCGCGCCCGCGCCCGCCCCCCGCCCCGCGCGCCCCGCCGCGCCCGGACCCCCGCCCCCCCGCGCCCCGCGCCCCGCCCGCGCCGCGCTCCCGCCTCCTCCTTCTCCAGAAAAAGTCGCCATTTTGGTTCAGTGCCTTCGCCCCCTCCCCCCGGCGGCGAGCGGCCTCTCGGGGCCCGGCCGGCCCGCGCCCAGGTGACAGGTGGGTGGCGAGGCGGCGGGTGCGCGCGCCCGGCCCCCCCGTCCCGCCTCTGCGACCCCGCCGGGCGCCCCCGTCCGCCGCGGCCGCGGGGCCTGAGCCTGCGGGTGCCTGCTGGGCCCCCACCGCCGGCCGCGGCGACGCTGGAAAGTGGGTCCCGGGCCGAGGCCGCGGCCGGGGCGGGGGCGCGGCGCGGCGGGGCGGGGCGGGGCGGGGCGGGGGGCTCCTCCCGGAGTTGGAGAAGTTGGTTGAGGCCCCCGCAGAGCCGCACCTTCCCCGGCTCAGGACCGGGCACCCCCTGGGCAGGGGGCAGTGACCCCGCGCGCCCCGGCCTCGGCCCCTGGGCCCCCTGCGGTCTCCCCGCCAGAGGAGGGGCCACCTGCCGGCCCAGCTGCCCCCACCCCCCCTGCGGCCCTGGGCGTCCCTGTGGAAGGATCCGGCGGGGCTGAGTGTCAAGTCCCTCTCCCCAGCTCCCAGGGTGCGGGGCCCAGCAGCAGGTCCGTGCAGGCCCAGCCTCGGTGGCGGGTGGCGGGTGGCGGGTGATCTCCGGAGGAGGTACCGGTGGGCCTGTAGGTGGGGGCACAGAGGCTCTGCAGGGTGCAGGGGGGGAGGCGGTGGGTGAGCCTGGCGGAGGGCGGCTGGGGGACTCCTGCCGAGACGAGGCTGAGAAGAGGGTCACCCGGGATGGCTCACGGCCACAGGCTCGCAGGGCCCTCCATCCCGGATCTGCCCACCTTGACCACCTTCCATCTGTGTTCCGAAGAGAAGGATCCGGGGTACCCACCCCGGTGGGACGGCATTGCCTTTGGCCTGGGTGGGGCTGTGGAGAAAGGTGTCCCAAGGTGCTGGGCCAGCACAGCCTGTGAGCTAGCAGCCGTGCCCGTGTCATCATCGGCCCTTGGGACGCACGCTGTTGACCTCTTTCCTCCCGAGCGCTGCACCTCTCTGGGGGCCGCGCCCAGCCCAGTAGCAGGTGTGATTCTTGGCGCTCTCTGGGACTGTTGTGTGCGGACAGGAAGTCTGTAGGAGCTGGTGAGGGTTTCAGGGCAGGGTGAGGTGCTGCCCAGATGATTGTATCTCCTGGGTAATCCGAGGGGACCTCAGCTGGGCAGTCCCTCCCCTAAACCCCTAAACCCCTAAACCCCTAAACCAGAAGTCTCCGTCGCCGCCTTTCCCACGTGGCTAAATACAGAGGCAGGCAGGCTTTCCTGTCCTGAGCCTGAGAGGGGCCTGTCTGGGGACGGGGCTCAGGCCCAGCCCATTTCAAGTCCTGAGCCAGGCCTGGTAGGCCTCACGGGTCTGTCTGTTTGCTCTGCAGAGATGACTGATCCCTTCTGCGTTGGAGGAGGCCGCCGGCTCCCGGGGTCTACCAAGAGTGGACCTGGGAAGGATGGCGGCCGGAATGAGGTCCGACTTCCTGTGCTGCACGACCCACCAAAGTTGGGTAAGAGGGGTCAGGCCAAGGTCAACTCCAGGGGGCCACAGGCAGCCAGTGCTGGGTGCGAGACTCCTCCCGCCTCCCCGGTGGGCCAGCCCCTCGGTACCCAGCTGGGCCGCCTGGGCTCTTGAGAGCCTTTCCAGGGTGGGGGCAGCCCGGCAGCCCGGATTCTTACCCTGTGCTGACCGCAGTCTCCCACTCCCCACGCTGCACTCTGAGGGAAGCAGGGCTCACTCCAGTCCTGACCAGCCCCCCAGGAGGCAGGCGAGACTGTGGGAAGCACAGCGTCCGCATCTTGGCGTACCATCTGTTGCAGGGATGCCAGTGGTCCGGGGTGGGCCGACGGTGCCCAGCCAGGCCGCACTCTGCTTTGATCCCGGAAGTCCAGCCAGTGACAGGACGGAAGGGAAGAAGAAGGGGCGCCCGAAAGCTGAGAACCAGGCCCTGCGAGACATTCCTGTGAGCTCCCCGAAGGCTGGGGTGGGACTCCTGCTGGGGTCTGCCTGTGAAGACCTTGCCCTGTCTTTGCTGGCTTGCCGCACAGC